CCCCCCCCCCTACCCTCATCAGGTGCAACGAGGAGCGGCTGCGACGGCGTCACCGCCACCGGCCGCCGGGGCCACGGCGGCCACCGCGCCGTACACCGGCATGCTGGACGCCCTGCGGCGGAGCTACCGCGCGGGGGGGCTGGCCGGACTGTTCAAGGGGTCAGGAGCGAGGATGGCCTTCCAGGCCCCCAGCATCGCCATCACCATGGCCGCCTTCGAAAAGTCCAAGGAAGCGTGGGGTTTCCTTTTGCCCTGAGCCGGTCGAGGGAGGGGGGGATGCACGCGCGTGTTCTCCTTGGGAGGTTTGTAGGAGACTCTCGCGGCGTCGTCCTTCTTCGTTGTTGTGCCGCCTTTGGGGGCGGATCGACCGGGGAAGAACGGGGATTTTTGTCGTGTTTCGGAGTGTGCTGTTTCGCGAGCACCCTGTCGATACGCATGTCAGAGTGATGTGTAAATTATTGAACGAACTACCACCAATACCGACCCACTACTCTCAAAATGTGCGTGTTATCCCCGCGTCCTACCACCTTCGGCGTTGCTCCTGTGGGATTGAGCGGGAAATTCAGGTGTGGGTTCGAATTTTCTTCCAATGTGGGCCTGGCCGTCTCATGGTCGCAGTTTGGTCATCGTCTGGTCCGGTTGGTCACGTTGCGTGTTGCACGTGGTGATGATGTTGTCTTTTCTGCTGGCGGTCCGCGTGTGAATCGTGATATTTGTGAAGCGGTGTCGGGCTGTTGTGTCTGCGTCGCTCCAAAATCCCTGGGCCCTGCCCAGGTTTCTACACAGGGACATACCTTTTCGACAGATTTGCTTCCTCCTTCGCTGTATGTAGATTTGGATGTGCCCGCTGTCGGTTTCAGATGTCAACGCTGGAGATAAAACAATCGAACGGCTTTTGTACAAAGGGTGGACCGACAAAATGAACAGAGTCCGGCGGGATAAGGCGGCTAGGCCCTTCCTCCTGTTGTTCAGCGGGGAGCGCGATTTTGTTGCATTTGTGCAACGTCGCGATCTTGGGCTACGACATGTAGTGCTCTTTATTCCCTCACACGTTTGCTCCCGGGGAGACGTCCTCTTTCTTGCGACTGTCCGCCGCTCTCTGTTGTCGTGCTACCTGGCTCCGATGTGGAGTATCAGGACAAGTCGAGAAGCTTACGCGACTGTATTCCAACCGCGACAGCAAGCAGTGTGATGACAGAACAAGAAACGAGACACACACGGGCTTGCATGCTTATATCGGTTGGGGGAGCATGGTGAGCGAAGCATTCTTGACTGTCAGGGCCGATGGAGCGAAAAAGGGAGAAGGACCTGCCTCTTGCACACCCAACGACAATAATTTTTCCTCCAACCAACGTAAACGAGAACGACTCGTAGCATGAGATCAACTTGCTGGCGTTAAAAGGTGTAAATTGGCGGGGCAAGCGGAGAATGCTGAAGACTGTCGCCAACAAAGTCGGGATAGAAGCCACGTGGACGGATTTGTCGCCGTTCGAACCCCAGACCGTGGGTTTATCTTTTTCCCTACTCATTTCGAAGTTTTGTTTTTTCCGCTCTAAACACACGCAGTCCAAACCAACTAAAAGCAGGATGCGCGCATGTCGAGGCTGCAGTAGTACTGTAGTATCCGTTTGAGTGTCTATTGTGTTGTTTTCGCAGTCTATCTGCACAAGACGGTAGGTTGTGAGTACAGAGAGCCTCGTTGTCCCTTGGACGATTCACGTGTCATTCAGATATGATGGGCGAGATCGGCGTTGTCATGTGGATACTCTGCTGCTCCCAACTGCTCAACCACGAAGATCACCATAGACATCATATGTAGGCTATACAACGCTACGAGTATAGACAAAGGCACAGCTAGATGACGGTAGCGTGCACATCAAAGCTTATTCTCCGAGATCATGGCAATAGCGCCACTATTCACGGGTCAATAGTGGCGATATTGCCACTAGATCGAATAGTGGCACTGCCCTGAAAGGTGGCATATTCTCCTCATGCCCCTCCACGCCACTATATCGGGCCACAGTACCGACAAGATGAGTCACCGCCTAAGCGGAAGCTGGTGTACGTGCAAAATCCAGAGTGATACAATAATCAGAGCGGGCGTCTGAAAAAATAGCGCTAGATATGGGTTGCCTATACGGTTGGAATTCCTTCTTACGAAGAACAACGACATGTGTCATTTCCCCTTCTAGCATCGACGAGAATCACGAAGTCTTACACAGTAGGGGGGGTTTGGAGCAACTGGACTGGCCTTGGCTATGCGGCACATTCCACCCCCCAAAACGTTCGGTTAAGCTACTGTACGAATGCAGACCCGCAGACGAGGAACGTCGCCTCTGATCAACACAAACGCGAACTATACCGCTGGTCTCATGATATTGCAGCCGGGCTCAGGCTTGGTGCACACATTCAAGAAAAACACGGCATGAGGTTGTCGACTGGTCTTTCAAGTCGCCAAACGCAAACTGTGCCGACTCAGGCCTGGAGCCCATCAACCAGCACACATGCATGCGACATGTGGGTACAGCGGTAACCCCTAGTGCCCTCTTGTTATTTAATCGACTTGCACTGCAGAGAAAGTAACAACCACTCTCATCACTTCGGTGTACGATGCGAAGAGTACAGCATGGCCAGCCAGTTCTATGTACGTGGCGACGACAAAACACACTACGAAAAGGTAACAATCAATCAATTTTAGATCACGCCGTCTTCCTCTTCCTCCTCCCGCGAGGATTTGCTCTGACCCGGCATCAACGCCCCCACCGCCCCGGTAGCGAAGTTCAGCGCCCATATCGCGGTGCCCCCCAAGAGCGCGATGACAGCGGCGGCCTCCAGCACCTCCGGAGTCGCCAGCAGGGCTGCGAGAGATCCCGCTCCCGTCAAGTCTAACCCTTTCGGAAATAGCTACAACGTGGGGTTCAGGGGGGGGGGG